TATATATATATATATATATATATATATATATATATATATATATACGTTGATATATATATGTGTATATATATCTATATACATACATATACATACATATAGGTATGTATATGATAATTTTATATAGAATAATTTTATATCTCTTATATATTTTTTATATATATATATATATGTATATATATATATATACGTATATATATATATATACGTATATATATATATATACGTTGATATATATATGTGTATATATATCTATATACATACATATACCTACATATAGGTATGTATATGATAATTTTATATAGAATAATTTTATATCTCTTATATACCTACATATATATCTTTTACATAAAATCTTTTCGTAAAATTCTATAGATCGCTGTTTTCAACTAATTCCCACGTAACTGTTCTCGGGATGTATATCACGTAGCTCCTGCAAAAGAAAAGCTGGAATAAAGTCACTGATGGCATGAATAGAAATAATTATAACTAAATTGCACAAAATTTTCTCATTTTTCTTTTTGCTCACGTTAAAATCATAATTCTCAATAAATTAATTGAATTATTTCTTAACTAAATTAATTAAATTAATTGAATTAATAATTCAATTAATAATTAATAAATTAATTGAATTATTTCTTAACTATTAATTTTATGGTATTTATTATTAAAAACATAGTAAAATTAAAATGAATTTAAGATACAAATATCAATTTCTGAACACGTATCTGGACACGTCTCGGATATTCTTATTATTTATTATTTATTAAATTAACAAATCAAACGAATTACGAAAACAACTATAAATACATAGAAAAAGTTAGATTATTAAATTGACTATACATTAACTTGATTAATTAATATTAAATTAACATTAATTAACCGAGAAGTTGCACTTATTACTGAACAGAATAATCATATTGTTAGATAATTTGATCTCTTTTACCTAGGCGAAAGTTATTTTATTTCGTTTATTTTATGTATCAAAAAAACTAAATTAACTGAAAAAATTTAATTAAATTAAAATTATTGGATCCATAATTAACGAGATTAATTTCGTTGTCGAAGAAATTTTCTTGTTCTTTCACGTACGTGCAGCATCTGATAGTGGCTCGTCTTTGCCTCCTCCTCTCGCTCCACTTCCCCTTTGAGCTGTTTTTCTCGATTCGGTGATACCAACAGGTTCTTGTGGTCTAACGGGCCGAAAGTCCAATTGCCTTCGCCGTCGAAACGTAGCAGTAGCTGATGATACTTGGCAAGGGAGGCTACGCGATGCGTGATGGTCAGCAAAGTGATGCCTTTCTTTTTGGCCATTTCATACATGACACCTTCGGCCTCCAGGCTCACTGCGCTCGTACACTCGTCCAACAGAGCATATTGCGGCGCGTGATAGAACAATCGTGTCATAGCCAGTCGTTGTTTCTCGCCTCCTGACAGGGTGGAATCCCAATCACCTAGGGCGTCGAAGCCCTCGGGTTCGCGGTCAACCAGACCGCGCAGGTCCACGTCCTCCAGCAGCTGCAGTAGCTCTTCGTCCGAGCAGTTGCGTGAATTGCTGAAAAATATAATCGTCAAGTAATCCATTTCTAATTTATTGTTGATAAAAGCAGTTTCTGAGCAAAAGAAAAACTTGTTACCATTACTAATTTACAACAATTATTCATTACCGTTGGTAATTCATTGGTTGGTTGGTATTCATTGGTATTCAAGAAATAATAAGCTATTACGAGAAGTACTAAATTAGTACTATTGCCATCAAGTTTTGAAGATCTTTTCCTGTTCAGTTTGATGCTACTTGTCTCATGAAATATAATTGCACTACTGTTACAGTTATATTTAAAAATATTAATATCTTTAATAAATAGTTACAAACAAAAAGTAACTTCTAATCTTAAGAGCATTATATAATTTTTTGACTCTGACATATTAGATAATCTATTTAAGTAATAGCAAAATATAACAATATATGAATGTGAATTCTCTTTTACAGGAAAAAAATTCTGTAGAGTATATTTTTCATGCTTTTACAAAGAACAAAGATCTACTTTGGAAAAACTACTTGTGCAAATACACAATGAAAGTTAGTGATTTCAAAACCGAACATGTTGCAACTTGAATTATTGGCTATTTATTAAAGGCATTACACAGTATGAAAAGAAATACAAGTAAATTTATAAAATTAGAAAATACACACACACATCATATAATAAGACAAAAATTGATAAAAATTTGTTACCATTACTAATTTACAACATTCACAATTATTCATTACCGTTATTGGTATTCAAAAAATAATAAGTTGTTAAAAGAAGCACTAAATTTTACTCTTTCAGGGTGCAAAGTGGATTAGTATTAAGTTCGTGTGTATGTATAGATGATATGTATAGATAAAACAAAACCGCAGAAGATCAAGCAATTCTTATGCACTGAATTATATTTTTGTCTCAATAATTCTGATATCTTAGAAAATGTTTCAAACATTATGGAACTAGCCAAATGATGCGTAGCGCGTGTTTGTGCTTGTTCTAGTAATAATAAATAACTTGAATTCTTGAATATTCTGATAATTTGAAAAATACCTGGGTAACCGAATAATTCGCAAAAAACTTGAGTACCCAAGTATTTGGGTGTTCAAAACTAACATCATTACGTAGAATACATTTAGAAATTGGATAATATTTTGCATACAATATTCAGAATGACAAACGTATGTTGAAACAAGAAGAATGCTCCTAGAATTTAATAAACGATTCTTACCTGGACTGTGCCGGATAGGTGATTTGATCGCGCAAACAACCGACTGTCATATAAGGCTTCTGTGGGATGTAAAACAACGCTGGTCTACTTGCTTGCTTGAACGAGCTCCTCTCGGCTGGTCTGATTAAAGTGCCGTCGTACACAGGCCAGAGTCCGGAGATCACGCGAAAGAGGGAACTCTTGCCACATCCGTTGGGTCCAGTGATAAGCAGGTGATCACCTGGCTTGATCTGCAAGATAAATCAGTCATAATTAGACTTCCAAGGTTTTCTAGGAAAAGTGAATGAGAATAAATTTAATAAAATCAGAAAATATATGTGTATTTTCCTCGAATCTGTTTGATGCACAAGAAAAGTATTAAATATCCATAATGTATGCTCTGTAATAATATAGCAGTGACTTACGTGGATCGTTAAGCTAGGCACGATAACTTCGCAATTAGGCGTAACTATCGGCACGTCGATAAGCTTTATACTGCCGTCCGTGCTCTCGCGAACAATTCCTATAAGAAGCACGCGTAATATTATTTAAAGATGAGGTGTATAATTTGACTGTGCATTTCGCCTCATTAGAATATATGAATGAATTGTTTAATAACTTATCTCTTTTTTCTCTAAATTTCTTAGAGTAAAATTTCACTCGAAAAGCCGAGTGACAATGAAGAAATTCAAATTTGAGAAATTTTTTGCTCATATAGAATAATTTTTCCATTCCGAATCGTCGAGTGAATATTTTCACTCAAAATTGAAAAGTAAATCTAAAATATCCAACTATCAACGGGAATAAATTTATTGAAAGCAACTGAAACATTTTCTCGTATGTCTACACTCCAACAAACTTAAATAATTCTATAATATATAGTTATATTTCGATATTATACAGTTATATGTATATATATTCAAATATAAAAGAATTATATAAAAAAATATAATTATATATTACAATATTATTTAAATTTCTCTTGGAGTGTATGTGTGTATATGTGAAATTTTATTCAAAATGAATAAAAATTAATTTGAAGCAATAATGAAAATACTTTGTATAATATGTATTTAATTATATATAAATATATATATATATATATATATATATATATATATATATATATAAATAAAAATATATATAAATATATAAGAGATTTAATTTTTTATTTATTATTATTAGAGATATTATATATATAATTTACCTTTTATCACTGGAGTGCCATCACTGAATTCAATTATTTTTTCCATGGATTGATGTACATTGCCGTTCGTGAGTCTCGACGGACCGCTAGTGACGACGTTCCTTTTGTACTTGCAGAGCGCGGCGTCCTTGAAGACGTCCAACATCTCGCTGACGCGTGCCGCGTAGCCTGCCAGCGCGACTAATTCCTGTTCGAATGAGTGGCACCGATTAATTAACAATTTAAACGTGTTTACGAAATATAAATGATAAATCGGCAGACATATGTACCTTGTAAGATGACATCAGTCGTTCCACAGCGTCTGCTCCGGAGCTCAAGAGGTTCTTCGAGGTGGTCAGATACCTCGTTCGCTCGCTCACACCACCTAACGCAGCGTATAATTTTAGTAAGTAACATATTAATGATTATTTTTGTATCAGGATCTTATATAAATTTGTCGATGATTTCATTAGTTTGAAAGATGAGTCATTTTACAAACACTGAATCGGACGATTAGCTAAAAGGTAGCAATTAGTGATGAATAATGATGGCAGATATTTGTATTGGAATGTATTGTCTCGATGTACTGTTATAATTTGAGACTTATGCATCTTTCATCTTGTTTTATTAATTCCTTATTGATTGTATAATCACTTTTTCGATCGCAATTAATCAATACTTTTCACGTAATGAGATTTAACTTAATGAGACGCTGTTGTATATTGTGGGTTATTGTCACGGCATATAAAAAAAATTACTAAAAAAAATATAATTAATAAATAAAAGAAATATAGTTAACAAATAACAAATGGTTAATTAATAATAATTAATAACAATAATTAAAAATAGTTAATGGTAGCAAGTGGTTAATAAAATAATTTAATTTAATTGGTTAAAGATATGAAAGCTTCCTAAAACTTTTGCAAGACCCTGATACATCTATGCGCTCACAAAAATTCGTCCTCATTTCCGTCGTGCTAAGGAAAAAAGTGGTTAACTACATTTGTGACTTAATCAATTTTTTCCTTGGCACGGCAGATTTATACTCAGAGAATTCATTCAACTTGGAGATTTTGTATATACAAAGTGCATACAAATAAAAAATCTTACATAGTAGAAATTACTATAAAATTTTGAAACCAAGCAATATATCAACATTCTACTTTAATTTATATATTATGTTTCTGTAATATACTATATATATATTTCTAGAACTGAAGTCCATTATTAAAAAATTTACTATTTATATATGTTCCTTGTCAAAATAAATTCCACTGGATGTTTATTCTTGTACTACAAAAAATCATGATAAAATTAAAAAGAATTTATATGAAAAAGGACTATAATATATTTTCTTTTTGTAGTTGTATTTGTAGTTCCATCGCGTTATTGGTGTTATCACGTACCGTCAGTGTTTCCGGAGATTTCGCTCGTCGACGACGAGACCGCTGTGTTGTAGAGTAGTGGCATAGCGATGACGAAGAGGCCAGTGCCGGACCACACATATTTCATCAGGAACTGTTCTAGCATTACATACCACAGTTTGACAGCGAGCACGCGCTGCAGGTGTGTCACCAAAGATTTGTATGCGGTGTTCAGGTAATGATGCTCCGTATCGTGGCCGCTGTAAAAGGCGATTTCTTCCGCGTGGGCGCTGATACGGGCGTGCGCTTCCCTCAGCTTCCCTCGTCGTGCCGCTTCCTCCGCGACCAGCTGACCGAATCGTGGCGAAGCGAGGCGCAGAACCTGCCCGGTCAGGGTGATCACTGCTGCCGCCAGTAGCGGCCCTGTCAAAACAATTGAAATCGTCAGGAAAAGTACTTGCGACAAAATTCAGCACAAATTGAATTTTTATTAAAGAAATTGAAATATATTGGTAGAAAAAACTACTTGAAAATAAACAGAAATTGAACTTCTTCTGAAAATTTAAAATTACTTAAAAACAAATTCAACAAAAATAGAGTTCTTACAAAGAAAAACCGCTAGGAGAAAATCATTGTATTGTAAACAATCATTGAATTGTAAACAAATTCAATAAAAATAGAACTCTTCTTAAGAAAATTGAAAACGTCAGGGAACAAAAATTTAACTCTAATTAAGGAAATTGAAATCTTCTCAGGAAAACTATTTGAAAATAAATTGAACAAATATAAAACTCTTATTAAAGAAAATAAAATATTGGCAGAAAAATTACTTGGAAATAAATTTAACAAAAATTTGATTCTTATTAAGAAAATCGAAATCATCTCTGGAAATTTATTTGAAAATAAATTCTACAAAAATTGAACTCTTATTAAAGAAATTAAAATCGCCAGGAAAATTATTTAAAAACAAATTGAACAAAAATGAAAAATTTTATTAAAGAAATTAAAATTAGCAGGAAAATAACTTAAAAATAAATTAAGCAAAATTGAATTTTTACTAAGAAAAATGAGATACGTAGCAGAAATAATTTATTAAAGAGAAACTGAAGATTCATCTATTGTAGAATAGATAATAAGAAACTGACAATGGAAAAAGAGAATATCGTTGGAGGAATATTCGAATTCTTTAAGCACGTTTATCTCACCTGGTATCGTCTTAGCGCCCATTTTCGAGGAGAAGGAAATAAGGGCGATGCCCACCAAGGCGCAGTCAAGCAGCGGCTTTGTTAAGCTAGAGTACAAGTGCGCTACGGAACTGGCTAGTTCGGATAGGTCATCCGTCAGTCTTTGCTCGGCACCGCCAAGCCTAGTGTCTAAAGCTGATACCCTATAGTAAGTCTGCTGACTCAGGTACATCTTGTATGCGTACTTCACCAGACGTTCCCTGTATAAATCAAATGAAGAAGAGAGTTATGAATCATCATAGGAAGTAATCACGCGATGTGACCGAGTTTATGTGAACGTAAAACAAGATTACAAGATGCAAGAGTAAATATATAAAAATTTCTGTATATTTTACAAGAATATATATTGATAATATATGTATTATTATGTATTATTTTCAATATAAATGTATCTATTTATTAAATAATAGTTATTATCAACATTATCTTATAAAATAATATAAAAATTTATTATACAAATAAATGTTAAAAATAAAAATTTATTATACAAATAAATGTGTCAAAAGTACAAATATATTAAATGACGTATAGGGAAAAAGATTTCATCTTTTCCCGTATCTTCGACTTATTTCTTCGCGAAAAATCTTTTCTTATCTGCATCGAGCGGCAAATTTGGCGGAACACCCAGTATATGGCGACGTAATTCCTGCACCAAAGAAAGAAAGAGAAAGAGAGGAAGAGGACAAAGCGCGGAGCTAAGAAAGGGACACGAAATGTTCGTCGCACACAAGAGCCTTGACACCGTAACGTGAAAGAATGGTACCCAAAAGGGACAAGGCATAACGGTATTCTGTACTAACCGCATCGACGATGTCCGTCTCATTTGCTTCAAAGGATATCGCGGAGTTAATGTCGCTGTAATTGCGCTCCGATTGTTTCAAGTGCGCGGGAATGTCATGCGTCTCCGCCGTGCTAATTATCGCGAGTGATATTTTTTAGTGACTATAGATTGAGTCAGCCGCCTCAATACTAGAGACCACTTCGTATATACCTAGCTACACAATACCGCATAATGAAAAAACGGCCGTAAGAAGTACCCGACAAACTAGACGTTAAAATGAGAATAGTTTATCATCGTAAGAAGGGAAAAAAGGTAAACAAGGAGTAGAAGCGAAACAGCTGATGTCCACGCATTCGAAAGATAGAGACTCTTTCGCATTAAGGGACTTGACAAAAATTTAAAACCTTGAATTGTTTTTGGGAAACAACGTGGTGATGATTGACGACGTCGATGTCGAGACGCGGAAAATTTTTTTTTCGACAAAGAGGCACCAATCGGACTTGCTACGGCTCTGATAATTGGACAATAGGCCTTTTTATTTGTGCCGTCCGAATTGTCAACAAGTCAGATCAGTAAGCCAATTTGGCTTCTAATGTCGAACTTGACGATGTCTTTATTTGTGATTCTCGAGTATTTGTGTAGAAGAAGATATTGTGTAGAAGATGTTATGTTTTTTGCAGAAGAAAGATTATAGAGATGCACTAGTCATTTTTTTCTTAGGCAGACTTAATATGAATTCGGTTTATCAGGACTGATAAGTAATTTTTACGCTAATATTATTTGGAGAACGAGTTTCGTGTTCTGCGTTTCTGGCAGTTGCCCAAACTTCGCCAGATCTTGCTGCAAAACTGCTCCAAATATATCGCTTGTTTCGTTTCAGATGCTAAAACTGTGCGAACATAGACGAATAGATAGAATTGCTACGATTGCACATTTCGCATCTTTCTTTCTCTCTCTCTTTTTCTTCCTTTTTTTTTTAAAAAAGGAAGATTCTTCTTTTTAAATCTAAACATACATTTTTTCTTTCTTAAACAGGAAACATTGCAAGCGAACAAATTTCTATACATAAAAGAGAGGAAGTAAGAGAAAGAAGAAGATAAAGAAGAGAAGAAGAGAAAGGAAGAAGTAGAAAAGAAGAGAAACAAAGGAAAGAAGAGAAAAAAGAGGAGAAGAAAAGAGAAGAAGAAAGGAAGAAGAGCATTAAAAGAAAAACAGGAAAGACGTGTAAGAGAATGTTTGCGCGCAAACGGCGCGGCATCTCTAAACAGCCACCGTGTAGATCCGGGCTAATCGTACCTAAAGCTAAGCGCCAGTCGGCCCTCGAGGTATCTGATGGCGGAGTTGACGAAAGTGGCGGGTAGCGCGATGGCGAACCAACGCGCCAACATGTGCGAGAAGCCGTGAACGTCGCGTAGTACAATCCGCTTGACGATTTGACCCTCGAGCTCGGCTACGTAAACCGACAGGAAGGTGCGTGCCAGCAATGTGAGTGTCGCGCAGGCCAGCAGACCTGTCTCGCGGCTGCGCCATCCCGGCACCATAATTCGTAGCAACATCAGCAGCTGCCGCAGGAAAGCACGATCCAGTCCGACCGACGGTTTCCCGCTGTTGGCGTTGTCCACATTTCCGGCCGCGTCTTCCGGTAACAGCGCGACCTCGCCGTGGTCATCGTCGTCGTTGTTGGTACCGCGAGCGACACCGTTCTTCTCGTCGCGCTTGGAGGCCTCGCGCTGACTCCCTTGGTCTCTCTTCTGAGACCGTTGTTGTTGGTGTCGCAGTAGCTGTCGCTTGATGCTGGCTGCCAAGTACGGGTAGCCGAGCTTCAATGCGTAGAGAGCGAACGCGCTGCCGATGAGGCCGCGCGTCATCGTCTCCAGGCGAATGCCGTAGCGCGCTGACGCGCGGTCAATCAGCTTCGAGAACACCGACGACATGCCGCTATCTCCTGACCGAGTCACAAGTTGTACTTATCACCTACGTTATCACCAAACTGTCCGGTGCATCCCGAGGATGCGCTATCACAGAGGTGGTGACGGGTCACGGCACTGCTCTGCACGAGGCGGTCCACGCTAGCTGTGCGAGCTAGCGAGGAGAAGCGCCTCGCGATGTCGTCGACGTGATCGCACGAGCGTGCGTGAACACCCGAACACGGACCACCAGACCAGGCCGGCGACCAGCTGGCGACTGCCATCGACGTTGCGACACGATCCGCTCCGATCCCGAGGAGCAGAGCCCTCCTCTTAGCCGCCACAGAGCTCTCCCACGCGTCTCTCGCCGAGCGAGCGAACCAGAGAGCTCTCTCATTCGCTTGCGGCGGTGAACGTGGCTACGAAGGCTCGCTTTATCAGACATGGAGCTCGTTATCGGGACCAACGGGCGATATTTCTATTGATCTTGGAATATTGGTCCCAGGAAATCCATTCTTCGAAGATATCCTTATCACATCTCACCTCAGGAATTCATTTTTAAAGCCCATTAGACTTTAACGAGGTATTAATTGCGATCTTTAAACAAGCGCGAGTTTAATGACGGCGCGTGTTTTTATAGCGCGAGTCATTTTCTTAATACTTCTGTTGATCGGCTGGACGAGTTTCGCGGAACTCGCTTTTGAAAAAACTTCCGCTTTATGGCGCCTTGAGGATTTAATTGATCTTCAGGCGCCATCTTGAGTCGACGAAGCGCAAATTTTGAACACACATAGGAAGGTTAGTTTGCTGATGTTTTTATTGATCCTCAGATCAATGTATATTAGTCTCGGGAAATCCTCTTTGTGTAGGAATTTCTCTTTACCTCGAGGATTTAATTCTCAGGCGTCATTTTAAGTCTGTTTTCTTTTTTAGCTAAACTGTCTGAACACATATTGGTGCGATAAGTTAGAATGAGACAAGTATATTTTATTTCACTCTAACTTACCACCAGTTGAGGCAGTTCAGCTGAAAAGAATAGATATCGAATCGATCTTTAAACACGCTCTTTAAATACAAACTTCAGTAACGAGGTATTTTCACAGTCCAGTTATTCTAGTCAGTATCTAATCAGTGTTGCGTTGTATGTAAGCACAGTCGTATTATGTCTTACATAATATATTTATGATAATATTTATGTGCGTATATGTATGTAATCGTGCACTTGTACGTGCGTGATAAATGTAAAGTAAAAAACGCTATATTGAGGTTGGCGAATGTATCTCGCCTTGGAAGCGACTGGCTCTCAATCCTAGCTGGAATGCAATAGCTCGCAACGGCCGACGCATTGCAAGGTCAACGCTCCGCTCCGATTTACAGCTGACCGCATCTTCCTCCTTGCACGGCCGTCATATTTCGTCGCTCCGCTACGCTACGCAACGGAGCCGCTCCGCTGCTCTCGACTCCCTTTTTCTCTTTCTCTCTTTCTCCCGGGAAGACCGAGCCGATCTTGTTGCACACAAGCTTGCATACAAGAGTGCAACTCGTCAATCTCCACTTCGCTCTCCGGGTACAGGATGTTCCCGACTTAAGCTCGCGTTAACTGGATATTTGATAGATAGATAGATAGGTACATTTTTTGTGCGCTCTATAGGGAAATTCTTCTCAAACACGAACTTTTAACAAAATGATAATGCATGTGTTATGTATTTAAGTAAGATAATAGAAACAAGAGTTAGTAGTTTAGCAGTGGTCGCATCATACACAAAAGAAGAATTAATATCAATATGAAACTAATATACTCAAATTAACAATTATTCATTATTTCACATGCAAAGTCTAATGTTAAGGAAACTGAAGGATCAGATTGCCTGAAAATCGTGCTTAATTGGACCACCGAGAGCCAAGATATTACTGCAAAATGACGACCTTGAAAAGGAAAACGAAATATTTTTTAACTGTATCATACATTTATATTGAGTATTTGATCATCAAAATTATATTTTTCTTCTCTTTATATGTTGTATAAATACACGTCAAAATAATACTTTCGCATATTTATTCAATTTGTCATAAAAAATTGTGAAAGAACAAGCACGATTTTCAGGCAATCTGACCCTTCAGTCCCCTTAAGTGTCCCAGACCTTGTGTACATGTAGATTAAGTCCAACTAAATACAAAAAATTCCACTATCATTTTGCAAACAACCACGTGAAATTTTTGGGTATTAAATAAAGAAAAATTAGCGAATGATCACGCGCGATAATGTCAGATGAGTTTGATAACGACGCTTACCGTCATGTATAAACCAAATCAAACTGAGCGAAAATGTCCTTTGCTATCTCACAAATAACTATGTAGATTAACTAATTGATGAGCGATTCGAGCAAAATCGATCGAAAAATATTTATTTGACGATTGATTTTAACGAATTTAATTAAAACCATTTAATTGACGATTGATATGAACTCAAAGAATAAAAGATTCATTATGTAGATTTGGAATTCTTAATTAAAGAAAACATTAATCCCTCGCTATCATCTGCTATCATCGTGCCACTCCCTATCTTAATGCATTTCCATGCAGGACGAATTAAAAAATATATCAAGTTTGTAGCTTGATCGGGACGAAGCAAGTCAAAAATAAAAATTGATTGACTTCTCGAATTCTAATCTCTAATTCTTAATCTCATAATCCTTAATCCCTAATCCCTAAAGCCTACTACGAACTTTACGAGCGAATTAATAGCTAGCCGAAAGGTATCAAAGGATTTTTATGTATTGTCGACGAAGTATTACACGCGATGGATGCGATCGTTGTTACGATGAATAAGCAACATCTGTATTATCTAACGGCAACGATGACCTCTCGTATCGGCAATAAAGCCATCGCTACGACGATCCATTATCGTGTCAACTTCGCACGCCATCGAGGTTTATTTGTCTTCGTTGGTATTGCGTCGTTCAAAAGTGACGTGACCCGAGAATAAAAACGCAAAGCTATAACACGAGATTTGATGGCTCGTATTTGTTCTGTATTTTTTCTAAAAAATAATGAATGATATATAATATAAAACATAGAGTGCGTATAATAAATGATGTAATCGTGTAAAGACGTGTCCGTAATCTCGTGACGTTGAAATGAAATAAACGTTGAAATTGACGTCTTGAGTGCTGTGAACGTATATTTACGTCCAGCAATTGTCATTGATGTAGATTGTCCACGCATATATGCGTCTGACAAATTTCTTTGACAGCTCAAAGTGTTTCATCCGCAGTGATCGGTTAGCTCTGAAGTACTCCGCATTCAAGAGGTAATCTCCTCAGAGATACAAATACATATGTATACATTCAGATCAGTTTTGTAAAAATATCAAATTATTCTTAATTAAATCAATCAAATCAATAATGAAATTTAATGATTGATTTGCACAAATATGTTTCCATTTAACTAATTTACGAGTGAATTTAGTTTGAACAAAATCGATTAAAGAATATTTAATTGACAATTGATTTCAACGAATTCAATTAATAAAACCGTTTAGTTGATGATTGATATGAGTGCAAGGAATTAAAGATTCATTAACATTGACAATTAAACTTAGTAAAATCTCTCAATTAAATTGTGTGCTTTTAATTAAATTTAATAAAAATTTGTTAATTTGGCTTTTAATTAAATCTGTTAAGTTTAATTATTTATTTATTCAATTATTCTAAGCTCAATTATTCATAAATTTTCTAAGTTCAATTATTAATTGAACAGTTGTTAGTCATATCAATCATTAATTGAAAGGTCTTTAATTCAATTTAATTAATTTGTTGAAATCAATCGTCAATCGAATGTTTTTATTAAATTTGATGAAATAAATTGTCAATTAAACGGTCCCTAATTGAATTGGTTTATATCAATCGTGAATTAAACACGCAATAGTTAATTAAAAAAGTAATTAATTACTCGTAAATTACTCTGGTCTTAACTTTAAGTTTTCTTCTTAATTCAATCTTCGTTGAAAACGATACAACAAATAGTGCAGTCGGTCGATTAAAGATTGCAGTATTTTTTCAGATAAGTTTCTTAATGCATTCCGTATTTAATAGAAAAATATATCTTCTGAGAATGACTAAAAACACCCAATTTTCTTATTTCTTACTAAAAAAACATCTCATTCTATTTAATACGATATGTGTTAAGAAACTTATTGTAGAAAAATGTTGCAACCTTTAATCAGTCGACTGTATTTTGAATAAAAATTCATTATAAAGTATCAAGTGAAAAAGTCGTCGTATGATTAACATAAATCATATTTATTGCTTTAAAATTACATCACTTTTTTCTGATTCTAAAGAAATTTGTCCCTGAAAAGATTGAGAAAGTGACACGGCAAACAAAGAATAGACGGTGAGTCAGATAGCTGTGAAGGCGAGCGGGCATTAGTCTTTCCGAATTAATATATTCCAAAATATCTAGCACGCAAAGTAATAGAGGTAGCTGGGCTTTTCAAAGTGTAGACACATTTTATATCGATTAATGTTAACGATTAGCTGCAAGCAAGCGGAAAAGTTTAATACACAATCGTAAAATTATTAATTTCCCATTATTCATTATTCATTAATTGTGTTTATGCTAATTGAATAATTAACATAAACATTGGTTAAAAACTGGGTTAGAAAAAAAGAAAAAAAATGGCATTTGCGTCGCACTTTTCGCCCGAAGCTAATTTACGTCATGAAGTATGCATTAAGATAAAAATACTAAAGATTAGGTATATGCAGTACCTAATCTTGGACATTCTTATTATTTTGGTCTTAAAATATAAATATTTAAACTCTAAACATAAAAAAAAAAAAATATATATATATATATATATATATATATATATATATATATATATATATATATATATATATATATATATATATATATA